ACGTCATGTTAACGTTAAGATTATTTTATTAATATATATATATATAAATGTTCATTATTTATAAAGTTATTACATCTTGTATATAAATATATGTATATGCAAAAGTGCATAAATGTATACTTCCTGAAACGCACAGATAGGATGCATAGCTGTATCTTTAAAGAATATGTGTCAGTCTGCTTTTAAACATTAAAGAATGAGATCGTAGCAAATATAATTGACAATGAGTCTATCATTTTGTATAATCCTTGTTCACATATATACATTATCAAATTATGCTCTAATAAATATATTTAATTATATATAATTTCTTGGTCTTTCTATTTCCCTTTCTCTCTTTCTCTCTCTCTCTCTCTCTCTCTCTCTCTCTCTCTTACTCTCTATCAGTTATCAAGATGAAAAAAGTTATGTGAGCAAGTAGAGAAGGAGGATAAAAGGAGATACGTATGGTATGCGATGATGATTTTTCGTAATCATCTCGGTTGCGTGATTAAGGGCGATTAGAAGAAACGTTAGAAGGTGTTTTAAAGTCACGCAATAATCTTGGGAGGAAGCGTTATTACTCACTCGGCACTCAGTGCCGTGTATGCTTTAATGATTGACATCCATTAGTCGCTTAAAAATCATCTCGAAGATGAAGAAGAAGAAGAAGAAGAAGAAGAAGAAGAAGAAGAAGAGGGCTCGCTCGCGCGTGCCCTTGGGCTTGAGCTTTGAAAATGTGATTTGCATATATGCAAATAGGGAGCGTAAGCCTGGCGCCTAAGTGCCGGAGCGAATCGCCACTCGCACGAGCGAACCACTGCTGAGAGTGATCGTTCACCTCTATCTGAGGATTACGATAATGCAAAGACAAAAAGGATTCCATTTTGAGCCGGCGAGCAATCGCTCGAGGTTATCGCAACTTCGACTCGATAAATCCTCCGTAGAATGTACGCTCGAAGCTCTTTATAAAGAAGACTCGATGTTTCCTGTTCGAATGATTAATTCGTCATCCGAACCTGATATCAAATGTCGACGTAAACGAGTTCATTCGAGTGGTATAATTTCGTACAAATTTGATTACCTGTTTTATTCAGTTCGAATTATAACCCAACTACATACACCATTATCATCATTAATATTATCTACATGTATTATGGATTATATATTATTATCATACATATATTTTCAATGGTCTCATACTTCCTTATATTATTTAAATTTTGTCTCATCCTTCTAAAATTCTATATCCAAAGGATATTAATGAACGTGTATCAATTATCCATCCAATATCTCAAACATGTAATAACTAACATCGGTAAAGTAAAATATTACATAATATTATATAAATATACGACGTTGTTCTTCATATTATTAAAAAAAAAAAAAAAAAAAAAAAGAACCTAAATGAGCATTCGTGTCGAAATTCTTTCTAATTTTCTAATCACCAGTATGTTCGTAAATTCATATTCTTCTCTTTCAATGCCGCAATCGATAAAATTCATCGTTTAGCGAGTCAAGATATACGAAGATACTGGGAGACCTGTTCATTCCTCAGAATCAAGTAAGCGAAACGAAGAAACTGAGCGTGAAAGGCTTTTTGCACGCGCGCGCACACGCGATCGTACGAGAAAGCGTCAGCACGCGCGTGGAATTACTCGTTCGAATGAATAAAGAGAAGTGATAAAGGAAGGACATTATTTGTATATAATAAAAATTTAAATATGATATATGTTTATATATATATAATAAAAAAAAAAATAAATAAATAAATAAATAAATAATTATTCATTCTTCACGAAAAAAAAAAAGAAAAAAAAAAGCAGATATATGTATCTCTACATATCTCCAATTTTTTTCGTCAGGATTCATTTGTCAATTCATTATGAACTTACTTATTATATGGAATACTTTTTATTGAAAACAATTTAAATACGTTTTTTTTTTTAAAGTTGAAAGAAAAGAACTTTTGAAAGGGAAAGAAGTTGCATTTCTTTTCCTTTCTTTTTTCTCTTTTCTTTATGGTACATCGACGTGTCATTTTATTTACCTAAAAAGATAAGCAGTACGTCGAAGCGATACCTCGTGCCACGACGATATAAGGAATCCTCATGCGGTGCTATTTAATAACGTTGCCAGCGCGATAATCGATAACACCCGGGGTAGAGGCTAACCGCGAAAGAGTTACGTACGAAAGGCTACGTGGCTAACGGAGTACGACTCAACTTACGAGTCTTGAGAGAAAGAGAGGGAAAAAGAGAGAAAGAGAGAAAGAGAAAGAGAGAGAGAGAAAGAGAGAGAGAGAGAGAGAGAGAGAGAGAGAGATAAAACGGAGAAATAAAGAAGCTGCCGGCATATATTTTTTATACACGTGCGCTTGAAAAGACGGAAGAGTCTGGAAGCTTGCTTGTTCGCTCGATGACGAAAAATAAGAAGAGAAATATAAAAAAAAAAAAAAAAAAAAAAAAGAAGAAGAAGAAGAAAAAATAAAAATATAAAGGAAGAAAGAAAGAAAAATAAAAGAAATAGAAGAGTAACGCGATACGTTGTTCGAAGCACTCGAAGCGAATAACGAAGTAAACCGTAAGAAAAAAGAAAGAAGAAAAAGAAGGAAACACGAGGTAGGGTGGGCACACGGGGTGTGTTTATATCGCGGTAATTAAAGGTTAGCTCGATATGATATACCGAGATGCTTCTTTATAAATCTTCTCGCGTTACTTCTTGCCGCACTTTTTTCAACCTTTATTCCAGCCAATAATCAATTGTGCACGCGCGCACGTTTAAAGAAACTCTCTTTCTCTGTCTCTCTCTCTCTCTCTTTCTTTCTCTCATGCAAGTGCGACAAGATTTATCGTTTATTCCCTTCGTATAATAGTTTATACATGGATAACCAACCCTTCCATTTTTACGAAATTCTCTTTTCGACGTAGATATCTATGTTATAGTGTTTTTTGATTTGTACATTACAATAGACAGTATCATTGAATGATCACAGCGTTTATACATATATATACATATATATATATATATATATATATATATATATGTGTGTGAAATTTTATATAAGAAATATATGAATACATTTAGATCATTAATGAAATAGAATATAATAATTATTATTATTTCGTAATAATTTTATATAATAAAAAATATTTTGTTACGTGTAATTTTTATTATTTATCATTTCATAAATAGAAATTTTGCGTAATAGAAATATTATATTCGTATGAATCTAAAATATTCTTCATTTGAATATCATCATCCATATGTCATGTAGAAAAGGAATCTCGAAGAAATGAAAGGTATACCCCCACCAGATGCTACGTGCTTGCATATGGGAAGAATGAGACAAAGAAATTCCTCCAGGAATGGTTCTCGCGCCACATGACGCACGACTCGGTCCGCATAGCGCGTTTAGAAAAATGATCCCGCACTCCAAGAGAAGTTCCTTAAGGCTAATCGGGTTTGAACATATCTACCGGATCTTTCCGTGAATAGTCATGAAAAGTGAACGAGTGGAAAATCCATTCGATACGATTCGATGCGCCGACGTGCAAGTAAATTTTATTGCTTTTATTATCGGCACGTCGTCTTCTATCCAAAAAGACTCGATTTGCTTTTGTCGGTTAAACTTATTTGAAATTTTACCAAATATTGTAGATCCTATTATCGTTATATAAGAGAAATAATTAATTTATCGACGTAACAACAAACGAAAGCACATTGATCTATATTCGATCGATTTAAAAACAATTTTATTTTTAATATTTCGAAATAATTTATCTTCGTTTTAAATTAAATAATCCCTTGATATATAACATTTTATGATTTTTCTTTTTTGTTTATGTTAAGAACAAAAATAGAAAATAATTATCGTTAGATAAGTAAAATAAAATGTCTAATTAATATGAAATTGCAAAAAGTTTTATGATTACGAGTTAATTAGAGTAGTAATTTTTAAACCACGCTTTGAATGAGACGAGCATTGTACGACTTCCTAGAAAAAGAAGAAAAAAAGAAAAAAAAAAAAAATAAAAAAAAAAATAAAAAATCGAGAAAACTTCCATTGTCACGCTAGAAATGTTTAATTGATAATGGAAAGTAATGAGAAAGTGCTCCTGTGAAAAATGAAGAGGTAAATGGTTGGCAGGTGGCTGGTGGAAAGGTGGGCGAGAAAATCGCAGTTTCGCACGTGCGCACGTCTGCTTCTCCACGGTCACGTGACTCACGCACAAGTTCGAAAGATCTTTCGCGGGAACGAGCAAACGTGTGCCGATCGCGTGCGAGCTCACAATCGTTACGTTCGGAACCATCGATCGAAAGAAGAGAGAAAAAGAGATAATGGTCCGAAAAAGATGAGTTTGCCAAAGAGAGAAAGAGAGAGAAATTGGAGTTCAAAAAATAAAAACGAAAAAAAAAACAAAAAAGGAACAGTGAAAGGAAAAAAAGATATAAAATCGTACATGAAAATTATATGCCCTGTGGGAGTTATGCTTAAAAGGCCTTCAACGAAACACTGTCGTCAGTTAAAAGCTTCGTATATGTCAACGTCATGTTCATAACATATCGTAACTTTTATGTTATGTATGTACTATGTATATGGTGATAGAATGAAAGAGAGGAGTGTAGGAACATGATTTTCCTATAAAATTAGAGAAAAATCATAGCTCAATTATCCAATACAATGTCAAA